GTCTTCCTACAGTCACTTTAGTACATTATCATATCAAAGTAAAAAAAAATTAGAAAAATTATCTCGAGCAAATAAAATAATGATTCGTACGAATATATCGCACGAACAAGAATCCAAGCTGTTCAAACGAAATAACAGCTCGTGTGAACGAGATAATAAGTCATGCAAACTACATAATGACTCGCGCGAACAACATTTTTTTAGCAAAAAATAAATTTTGTATTTAAACTGAGGTCTGGTCACCTTTCTTAATGGAAAAAATTAATAATCATATGTAAACCTGGCAGGATTGAGAGCACAATATTAAACATTTTCAACAGTTATATTTCACGCATTCTTCAGATATTGTTGTCTGAATGCTTCAGTTGTTGCTTGTTTAAAATCAAACAACTGTTTAGAGAGGCTAATGTGAAGGTTCATCGATGTTTCCTCTGAAGTCGATGTTCTCAATGAATATCAAACTGGGTTAATATGTCACTTGCATTAATCAACAGGACAAAAATGTTTGCTTTCTTCACTTTAATTCTAGAAAAGTTTTTGATTTGCCATCAAACATCAAAACAACCCAGGGGAAATTCTTTGAGCAGAAAATCGTTTGCATTGTAATATTGAATTGTCATCCCTCAATTAACACTTGGCTAATAAAAAAAAGATTTCCCCCGACTTGTAACTCAAGATTCTTCCTTTGCCTGAAAAAGAGCAGCAGTGGCAATATATAGTTTATTGCATAAATGAAGTCCTTTAAAAGAGGACAAGACCGAGAAAGAGCAGGCGATTTTCCTTAGCCTATGTGAAGTATTACCAGTATTGTTAAACTGCCATGGTGGCTGAATATTTTTAGTGATCAACTTTTGCTCTCGACGTCTCTTGATTGACGAGTTGACAGGTCGACGGGTTGACAGTTGGACAGGTTGACAGTTCGACGGATTATTATCTCCGTTGGCTTGAGCACTAACCCTAATCCCTCGGGTGGGTTTGAGGACTTACCCTAATCTTTCCGGTGGGTTCGAGGACTAAACCCAATCTTTCCGATCGGTTCTAGGACTAACCCTTAACTCTCAGGAGATTTCGAGAATTAACCCTTATCCATCAGGTGTATTAGAGGACTAACCCTAAACCCGGTTGGGATCGATCGAGTGGTTTTACAAGACTTACCGTAATGTCGTGTGTTTGTTCGCGCAAGACAAAGCTTATTAGTTCAAAAGGATGTTATGAGGGTAAAAAGAATATCGAGAGGTGGTCAACTTTCGACCTGTCAATTTTTGTTTTGAGGTATAAATGAAACCGAACGGGTATCAACTGTTAACCTTTGTTTTAAGTGAAAATAGTGTCCCAATATGGTTTTAACTGTTGACCTGTCGACCTTTGTTGTGATGGATAAGATTTAGCATTGTGGTGTCGACCTGGCCTGTCGACCTTTATTTTGAGGGATAAGAGTTTAGGTGTCAACTGTCGACCTTTCGACCTTTGTGATGACAATTCAGGTTAAGCGTCAAATTTTCCCATTCAGGGAAAAACTCTTTTTGTGGACTATTTTTTTCTTGTGGACTATTTGACGTAATAAGGCAAAACACTCACTTTTTGTTTTATAAAAGGATCTATTTCTTTCCTTGTTTTAAATTTGAAAGATGTTAATCGGTTTTACGGATCTACTTTTCCGTATACCCTAGTTGAAACAATGGGTCTAGAAGGCAGACAGAAATGATACATATGACGAAGTTGCAAGCTTACACTTCACTGTGATAAAACTGTAAAGGGGAGCACCAAGCAGTACCTTGTAAAGTCTGTTTCGAAGACAATTTCATGGCAAGATTGATAACTCTTGAAACTCATGAAAAAATTACCTGAAGTCAAGCATCATAGTGGAGTCATTGAAGAAACAGCGAAAAATAAGCTGGAAGCGAAGCGGGGAAACAATAGAGCAGCTTTTATCAAGGGGAAAATTGAATTTACTGGGTGGAGGTAAATGCAAAATTTACAATATACCTTATTGCAAAATTTACATTGTATATAGATAAAAGCTTGTCACACTACCGCTACTTCAATTCACAATATCTTTCTCTTTCTGTTACCCCTACAGCTACTTCCATGCATAATATCTTTCTCTTTTTGTCTCACCTACAGATACCTCTATTCCCAGTATCTTTCTCATTCTAACTCACCTACAGCTACTTCCATTCAAAGTATCTTTCTCTTCCTGTCACACCTAATGCTACTTCTATTCGCAGTACCTTTCTCTTTCTGTTACACCTACAGCTACTTTTATTAGCAATACATTTTCCTTTCTTTTACAAATGCAGCTACTTCTATTCGTCCTGTCACACCTACAGCTACTTCTATTCCAGTATCTTTCTGTCCCAGCTACGTCTATTCGCAGTATCTTTCTCTTTCTGTCACACCTACAGATACTTCTATTCGCATACCTTTTTTGTCTGTCACACCTAGAGCTACTTCCATTCCCAGTATCTTTCCCTTTCTGTCTCACCTAGGGCCACATCTATTTCCAATACCTTTCTGTCACACCCACAGCTACTTCTTTTGGCGGTATCTTTTATATTAGCAGACCTATTTTTGTATACATATGAAGCAAAATTTATTTAGAAACTTTTACATGAGAAGAAGAAAACACTTGCTGTGGCCTTCAACTCAACATTTAGATATATCGACGACGTATTATCAATTAGCAATAGTTTATGTAGACTCGATATATCCCAGTGATCTTGAAAGTAAAGATACCACAGAGATTGACACATCTGTTTCATATTTCGATATTTTACTAGAAAAAGACTCTAATGGATTCATCAACTTGCTTGTCAGTAGTTTGCCTCGTTTTAGAAATTGTTCATACGTACAGCATGCTCTTGCGTATGGAATCAACTGGGAGACAAAAACCCCGTATGCAGGTGATAAGGGTATATTGCTACATAAGTAATGGAAGTTGACGATTGAAAATTTGAAGTCATCACGTTTATCATAAAGCTTTATGATAAACGTGATGACTTAAATTTTTCAATTGAAGCACTAGAAGTGAAAGTCACGAGTCTTTCGGAAGAGACCTTAAAAACCGAGGTCACGGTAGGCTTTGGCACGATGTTCAGTGGCCCTGAGTGCCGAGTATAGGTCTAACATTAAGATCACCGGTATGTGGTGACGTCTCTATATTAGTGAAAAATTCTCGAATGGGACGTTAAACAATATACAGTCAATCAATCAGACTAATTGTTAGGCCATTATTTACACACTGAATTATCTACGGATTTTTCCGTTTTCCCGATCGTGACAAGGAGCAACGGCGAGTGTGACCGATCGGCAGGTGATGGCCACTCCTATGTAACCCCCATCCCATTCCGATTATTATTAAAAGCCATAACTCTCATATTTGATAAAACAAGGGTCCAGTTACTTTCGACACCGTTGGTCGGACATCATGAAAAATGGAATCCTTAGTCACTGTGTTAAGCTTTCTTAATTAGCAGCAACATATTGGAACAAGTACTTGGAAAAAAATGGGGCAAAACCATCTACCAAGTGCTGTGATGATACCGGTATCAAAGAGCAAGAATCCCAAGTTTACACTAAAAGGATATACAATTCCTATTCTTGGTCGATCTTTAAAAACCCAATTCTGTCTGGAGCAGTTTGTAGCTAAAAAGTGCGTTGTGTTATGCTAATGTGTAGGCCCTATTCCTCTTCCATGTATCATTGAATTGTGCAGGCATGCTGTCAGACTGTACCTAACTTCAGGTTACATTCGGTTATTTTTCTTGTTCCACGGCGATCGAAAATGTCCTTGAGTATAGTATGCATAATGAAATTTCCTTTTTTTCCCCTGACCGATAGTTTTTTCACATCAAGTCGTGTTATCAGTTTCATGGAATATTTTCTTTTTTTCTTTTCGGTTATATATATTTTTTCATTATTGGAAAATTGTTATATTTAATATTTTGGAAATAGAAAAATGAAAAAAGTGGGAAGAGATTAAAAAATTGAAAGAGACGAAGAAAAATTGATTAAAGGAAACTAATACCCCTAGAGACAGTTTTCAGAGCAGTTCGACTTAATGAATAAATGCCAGTGTAACTGATATTCACAAATCAATGAACTCTTTTGTCTCATTAAATAATGAAGTTCATATTTGATTAAACGATGGATCAAAATTATTTTGAAACAAGTTCATATTTTTTTCGACCCAAGAGCAATTGTATTCATAAACAGTATCCAAGCAACACTTGATCTGATTATTTTTCAAAGCGTAATTTTACAAAACTCCCACCTTCTAGTCTTGTTTAACCCTTAATGTAACTTTGTAATTAAGGAAAAAGATTATTTTTGTAATACCATGGAAGAATATACACATGCTCTTGATAATTACAAAAGATAAACCAATTAATAAAATTTTTCAACACATATATTTACATGTGTAATCGACTAAAACTTTTAATATTAGCACCGAATGAATACATATCAAAATGTTAACTTGAAAATTAAAGTTAAAAAAAAAATACATTGAATTCATATACAATTTGTATAAAATCTTATTTTGTACTTGTTTGTTCTTCTGAGCCGAAGGCGCAAAAGCTAATGCTATGGCATGGCGTGCGTAAACATTTTGGAATTTGAGCCATATCTCAAGAACCTCTTGGCCAATCTTTATAAAATTTGTCTCAAAGGATCCTTGGACCAAGGGCTTATTTTTGATCTGTGATGAAATAATCAGTCTTTGAACAATGGTTACTAGTATTTCTGGATGTCTGGAAAAATGTATAATCCCTCTCTCTCTCTCTCGTCTTTCACTGAAAGAGAAATTTCTCCTTAATATAAATCTGAGAGATTTCTTTAAACATTGTCGTGAAAAATAATATTCCATGAGTCATTAGACTAATTTCAGATTTAATTGGTCAGTTTCAAACACGATGTCCTTTTGCTTCATCTGTCACCCTGAAAATTGATAGGCTTCATATCGACGTTCTGATTATTAATACGAAGTATAAACACACTGTCAGCCGGGTCGATACTCTCACTTGTCGCCTGATACCTATACACGGAGCAATAGGTAGAGCGTACCATAATTATTCTTCTCCCTTGAATGGTACTACACAATAGACGCTCGAGAATACAGAAACCACAGAATCCCAAACAAAAGTCTTAACTACTGACAATTCCTACCTAATATATAGAAATTTATCTCAGAACAAATCAGGAGCAACGAGCGTTGGAAGCTTTCGCCATATATTGATTGAGGAGGAGCGTAGTCCCCCGTCCAGATGTTACTGTCCAGTGTCTTTGGGTCCTCCATAAGGTATGTTATCTATATTGATTGAACACATTAATACAATGTATCTAGTTCAATATTGATATGATTTGTTTTTGTTCATCTTGCTGTTCATTTGCTGTTCTGGAATTATTGATGCATTCGGCAACACAATCGATGGATAAACGGTTTGAAATGCAGTGAGACGAAAAATATATTATTTAAAAAAAGGAAAAGTGAATTCTTAATTACCAGTAGGCAGGTAGGTGTTTTAGTGAGGGTTATTTGAGTTGATACGCATATAATTCTTGTTAATTGATTAATTTTATCTTTATATCTTGAGATCGATGAAAAACTTCTGTCATTCTTGTCTTTGTGTACAGATATTGCTTGGTCTATCGACGAATATCATGGTCTCATAAAGAAACGAACGGTGTAATTAACTCAGCCTCGGCAACCATTGCTCCTTGTAAGGTTCGCGTACGTGACAATTAATTAGGTCAAATTCTTCACATATACCGATAGTTAGGTTGTTTTTTTAATGTGTTTATGAAATGGACTTTCTATCGACCACACTGGCGATGGAAACAAGCGTCTTACTTTAACTTTCACATTTAATAAGCTTTACTTATTGCAAAGTGACTTTTTCTGTAACGAAAAGGTATTCTGCAATCTTTGTAAATTTTATACGATTTTGTGGATCGATTGCACTTAAATGCAATAGTCAAATTTAACTTGGAAGGTTTTGGTAACGTAATGAAACACAGATAGCCGGAGTAACTTAATTTTTCATTTCCTATTAGTTATTAGGGATATTCTGAAATACCGAAAATACATAAAATTAGTTTCAGCTCCGTTTGCAAAACATTTTGCTATTAGTAAACACTCTCTGTTCTTTCCTGTTTGAGGAATTGAAAATTAAAACATCAGTTATATTTTTTCAACTCATTAACCTAAATAAATAAATAAATAAATAAAAATAAAAAATAAATGAATAAACATATAAATAAATAAATAAAATAATTTAAAAAAAAAAAAAGGTAATTTACCCAAGAATACAAGGATTAGGGTATAGAACAAAATTATAAATCATATACCTTATGGACTAGGATTTGGAACACAAAATTCAATCGTCGTAAGGACCGATTCTTTTAAACATGGACATAGATTGAAGTTCTGGCTATGTGTAGAATCAGATTTATATGCCTTTAAAGTGATTAACTGTGCAGATTTTGCTATATGAAATATAATACAAATATGTGGATTCAACAGAAAAAAAGCAAACTGTTTGCTCTTTGTGTTGTATTCTTTTTATGTTGATTAAGTGAAAGACATTTGGGGGCGTCTAGTGCACAGTTATAATGATAGATAGAACTCATATTGGCAAAGTAAAGAAAACGACCATCACAGCTCACGACATTTGTTAAGATAAAGGCTATCAAATTGTTGACGCTTGGTTTCCCAAATACCATTTTTTGTTCTTCTTGAAAAGCAGATTAATAGTCAGGGAATAACGGGCTGTTCTGCTGTTTCCTATCTGTCTTGTCTAACAACCTCAGAATGATCACATTTGTCATCAGTAAGATCGATATCTGTAAAAGACACCACTACACCGAGTCTAGGAAGACTTTTCAAGGATATACAGTCCTAGTTCCGTCGTTCTCAGACTTCTGGACCGGAGGACACGGATAGAATGGCGACTAGAAGTCCTATCATTAATAGGGAAGCCTGTTACTTCTTCCGTTTGTGAATTACCTATGATGTCATACAAAATTTAAATTAACTAGTCATATTTTAATGCAAGGCCTAGTATATCATTACAAAACTCTTAACTGACATTCGGAATAATCTTCATTGTGTGGTTCCTCCAGGTTCATTTTGGTCTAATTTGTGATTGGTGCGGGCTAACATTGAAATTTTCAATTCATCATCGCTTTCATTTTCAATCTGCTGCTTTTGGTCTGTTGTGAAGTAATTAAAGAAATATTAGAATCCCGTATGTAAAATATCTAGAGAATGTTCTCGTTATTGATAATTAGTGTTTTGAAATCACAATCCTTGTGTTCTATTTTTTCTGGTATTGAGCGACCTTAAGTATTCTGTATCCCACTACTCCCCATATGTCGATTCATTCTGACCATTTTCCACGTTCATTTTATGTTTGCCTCAAGAAATAATGCTCAAGAACATACTTTTTGGAAATCCTATTTTACAAAATTTCGAAAGACAAGGAATATATATATATATATATATATATATATATATATATATATATATATATATATATATATATATTTATATATATATATATATATATATATATATATATATATATATGTATATATATATATATATATATATAACGAAGTTCGTCTATCTTAGATTGATTGACTGATGGTATGTTATTTAACGTCCCCTTCGAGAATTTTTCACTCATACAGAGATATCACCGTATGCTGGTGAAGAGCTTCAAATTTAGAACTATACTCGGCACTCAGGGCCATTGAGCAACTGCTTACCATGACACGGGACCTCGATTTTTAAGGTATCATCCGAAAGACCCGTGACTTTCACTTCTAGTTCACTTCTAATGCCGGGCGCTCAGAAAAGGAACATTCACTACTTCTGTTTACGTCTTAGGTTTGACGCGGCGCGGCGAAAGATAATCGAACCCGGGCCTCCCGATCCCGAAGCGAGCGCCCTACAACTAGGCTACCGTAACCGGTCGTCCATCTTAGACAACTTTTCAATTCTAGATTTTTAAAATACATATATTCGAGTATCACTGTATTCGTTGTGTAGAGTTCTTCGGAACAAAGTTTAAGTGTTAAATACAATCTTCAGACCATGCACTTCCTTCGCCCTCGTGGCGCATTGGTTTGAGCGTTTGATGTACAGTTACGATGTAAGGACTTGTTTTATACGGCGCGAGTTCGGGTTCTATACGTCGCGGAACGTGGAAACCGGTCCTTCGGATGAGACCGTATAAACCGAGGTCCCGTGTCGCAGTAAATGTTGGCACGAAAAAAATTCCTTACTGCTCAATGACACTGAGCGGCAGGTGGTGGCGTCTCCATAAAGTGAAAAATTATCGATATGGCGTTAAAAACAAACAAACAAAACTATGCACTTTCTTTTGTGATTTGATGTGCAACCTTTTCTTTATTTCATTGGTCAAAATGCCGTTCAATGCAAGCCAGATAATTTACTGGTGATGTAATATATTAAACAATTTTACAAGATTTTTTAATCTTAAGGTTCACTGACCCTCTGATAAGAGAGATAACTGTCACTGAGATTAAGAACTATCATTTCCAAGAAAAAAAATTGTCAAGTTCAAAGGTGATTTCTATCAAATTTGCGCCGAAGGCTACGCTGAAATTGTTTCTCTCTCTCTCTCTCTCTCTCTTTTTTTGAATACTTGTATTGTAATTGAAGTAAAAATTTATATGAATGAACAGAAGTTTTAAAAAAGAAAACTGCCATTATTGAAATTTACACTTTTTTTTAAAAAGCAATTATTTAAAAGCAATTCTATATTTTCATAATTAAGAGAAATGTTCTTTCTTGAAAAACGTGAAAATTCGGGAAGGGTTGAACTGTATTGTCTCCTTCATGCTAAAGCTTCTCTCTGGAAAAAAACGTGTTGCAGAAATTATACACCTTTCTACAACATTGATTTTCCCTACCCCTTCTTACTATCATGCAAGCTGTAATCAGATTACGTGTGCACAATCATGGACCTAACATTTGTTTCAGAAGTACATGCTCTTCAGCAAGATTTCAGCAATATTAACATTAAAATACTAGTATTGTAGAATGGCATTTTATAAATTTTAATCGATATTTTTAAAACTTAGAAATGTTGAGAAGGACAACAAAGTAATTTGAAGAACATATTATGATTCCTGATTTACTTGTGAGAAAAAGATCTATCTTACAGTAGTTTCCAGATATTGTTTAAACATATATATAATCCACGAGTTTTACCATTTTAGTATGTTTAAATTATGTGTCATGTGTAACGATTAAATTAATATGTGTTTTATTGGAAAAAGAATGCTAGAAATACACATGTACTTCTAGCATAGAATTTGTACACGTCAATTTAAGGTTGTTCCTAAAAAGGGAAAGCTTTTTAATCAGAGCTTCACTTTTCATTTTAATTGCATTTGGTTGATATTAAGGTCTTGGTGTTATCTTTCTCGAACTGATTTTATGGCTCAAACAAGGGGAAGATGTGCAAAACTAGCCCTCTCACCCTTCTACAAACTCTTTGTTCTTTGGATCGGAATGGGCACCAACTAAAAATATCCTGATCATCATCGACCGTTATTAATTTACAGAAAAGTCTCGATAGTCCGGATACCAATTATTCGGACGCTTCACCTTTTGCACGAAATTTGTGGGGAAAAGAATTTACATTTATATCTAACAATTTTGAAAGAAACGTTTCTGTAATCCGTTTAAAAAAATGTGTTTCTTTGGAGCTATGCTAAAAAAATGGCATAGTTTTATTTCAAGGGTAAAAACATGTGTTTGAGGCACAGACTTTTGGGTTGTTAATTCCGACTTTTAAAAATTGAGGTGTATAAAAAAGTTATTTTTTTAACACCTTAATTTTTTTTAAGTCGGATTAAAGCGATCTAAAGGCCTGTGGTTTAAGGTACATAATAATGTATGTGTTTGATGAAAATGCACCAATTTTCCCCTTGCACCAATGCACTTCTTGTAAGAATTGCTTCAGATGTTAGCTGAAAATTTATGTCAGGTTTTATAATAATTCTGCAAAAGTACAACTTTTGAATGTGCCTTGATTTTCTAGTTGCGGGGGTTGGTGGTTACAATTGCTGGAGAAACTAGAAAACCAATATAAGTGTAAAAGAAGTATTCTTCAAAAGATTTCATTTTCCTGAGAAAACAAATTAAGACTCATTTGGTTAACTTTTTGTATTAGTAATCTCTATTGATATTCAGAATTCAATGAGTGATTATCAAAGCTGTTCGTTCTAGAAGAAGAATGGCAGCAACCAAGAACCAACTTTAAA